GATAAACATACCTATTAATGTTTAAGGAAAGAAAATGACTTCAGGACAAATTATTATGTGAACCTGGATTTAAAAATACACAATTTACATACTGAATGCACCCGCCTTTGCAAAGACTCCACCGTACACTCACCACTTGGAATGGGCAGGGCTGAAGATAGCACCCCGAGCCCAACCTTCAAGGCAAGTCCAATTGTTCCACCATCTAAATTAGAGATGTCAATTGTACCCGCACTCGACGGGGAACCCGATTCCCCGTCCCTACGGGGACGGGGATGGGGATAGAAATAGGGGATCGGGGATGGAGATGGGGGCAATTTTGAATTCCCCGCTGGGGACGGGGACGGGGATGGGGAGTTCTCTTCCCGCCCCGCCCTGTCCCCGATGTATGTATGTATGTATGGGGAGTACACACACATATGTATTACTTTGTATACAATATATATAATTTTAGAAGCATTCTTGTCATTGTTTGTCATGCTTATGAAATGCATATTTAAATAACATGTTTAATTGTAAAATATTGAATACTATTTTAAATTGGGGATGAATATATATACGTTATTTATTTCAATATTTTTGAATGTTTAATTTTTAATTTTTTTTATAACTTATTAATGGGGTGGGGATTCCCCGTACCCGAATAATCCCCGTGGGGATGGGGATGGGGGGAGTTTTCCATTCCCCGACGGGGATGGGGACGGGGACGGGGAATGGGAAAAAAGTCGGGGGCGGGGATGGGGGGTATGTCCCCCGCCCCGTTGACGTCCCTAATCTAAATGCTCCCACTTAGGGCAAATTATGCTGTGGAACCTGGGCACAGTTATAAAATTGTTCATAATTGTAAATATAGAGTTCTGTAATTGTAAATATGAACATAGAAGTGTGTCTACATTTCCACAGCATAACAATTGTCCACTTGGGTTACAGGCTCACATTATTAAGCCCAGCGAGAAATTCTTTTAGTTACGGCCTTATTAAGAGAAAATATTTCTGCTCTATTTTCAATGGGAGAAATTGTTCGTGGACATGCTTCGCTTTCATAGCAAAAAATGGAGCAGAGAACTGTATGTGTGTTTATAAGTTTTGTCAGGCATGAGATTTGCTTTGTATCATTGTGATGGAAATTGTATGATTTTTGTTGAAGGCTAGAGGGGCTTAACCTTATATGTGAAGCAGAGCAGATACATATATAGCCTGGAAGCTTTAATTTGCTTCTCTGAGTGAATGGAATGGCAGAGATGATTGGATTCTGCGGGCAGCGTTCAGCCATCTTGATTGTTCAGTTTGAATCTTTTTCTATTCACCTAAATATATTTCTATCCAAAAGATTGTGTATTGTTCAATTTTCATTCCCTATTGTACGTTGGCTATTGTCTTCTTATTTTCTCATAATAATACTTTACATCTCCAAGATGCAACTAATTCAGCCGGTCAAATCTCGATTCTCTTTTTGATCAAAATTGAAACAGCCAGCCACTCAAAACCTTGCCCTCTTTTCATTGTATGCAAAGATCGAGTTAGTGGCGGAGCCAGCTGCCCCCACTCCCCCATCCCCATCCCCATCCCATAGTATATATATGTTGTATCTATAGGTCCTTATATAGATAGTAAATGTTTATATATTAAATATATCAAAAGTTAATTAAATGTTAATTTAGCTTAGATGGTAATGCTACCTATTCTCATTCAAAGTGTCCAGGGTTGCTACCTTGTAGCACTATTCTAATTGGATTTTTTTATTTGTAATATTGTGGTTTTTTTTTTAAAAAAAATATTAATAGTGAGATGATTGAAATTTATTTTTGGCATTTTTAAATATTAATAGTGAGAATTCTAATTGGATTTTTATTTATTTATAACATTGTGACTTCTTCTCTATTTTATTTTTATTTTTGCTTTTTAATATTAATAGTGTGATGAGTGATTATAATGTGTTTTCCATTCGAACTGTTTTGTCTAATTAATTATGTTTTATATTTTGTTTTAAATATTTTTTATCTTGATGTATTTTAATTTTTCATCCCATAGTTAACAATATTTATGGCTCAGTCTCTAAGAAAAATATCTCGTTAGTAAAATCTTCGCTCCCACTGAAAAAGATTTCTGGATCCGTCACTGATCAGAGCTGAAGTTTATCCCCTTCCGATCTTTTGAGTTTTGAGGTGAGTGCAGATATTCCTATAATATAATCATTTTCAATTTTTCAGTGGAACAACTTGAACTAATGTATGTGCTCCAGGCCAACTTGCCAACTTGGCTGTCGTTTTGTAAGTAGAAAAAGATGTAAAGTTTAGTTTGGGTTGAACAGATTTGGGTTTTGTGGCCTCGGTATGTTCCATGTGGAATGCATTATATTACAGACTTGAATGTTGATACAGATGTCTGGTCTCACAACTGTATAATTCTCAGTCCAGTTGGCTACATGCACCATGGATATTTATTTATCAATTTTTACTAGAAATTGGTTTAATTTGACCCCACTTTCTAATCCTTTTATTTTCTTTATTTATTTTCTAAAAAATTTCCCCATTTTTTAAGGTTTTTTTTTTTAAAAAAAAAAAAAAATCAAATAGAACTTCCATTAATGTAAATCGGCATAGAGTTCGTTAACAATAAAAGGCAGAGGGGTAGTAACCCACTCCTGACGTACAGACAAAGAACGGGACACTGTTCGCAGTACGATTAACATAAGAGATAGCAACGTCGATAAGAGAACGAAGCATATATTTAACATCAAGAAGCATTAAATCACATGAAGATACATCTTGGTCGTAATTGAGACCGTGAACAATCTGCAACGCATCACATTCAATCTGCACATTGTGAAGGTCCATTCTCGATCTTGATCCAGCTCAAAGCTTCCCTAATGGCCAAAGCCTCTGCTTCCTTTGGTGAAGAAACTCCCAGGCCTGTTACGCATGATGCCGCCAGGAAGTGCCCATTGTGATCTCTCAAGACCCAGCCGAACCCCGCTCGGTTGTGGACAACATTAACAACAACATCAGTGTTCAGCTTCAGATGACCTGATAATGGTTTACCAATTAAATGCCTTTAAAAAATACCAAAGACCTTGTAGTCCATTGATATCACGTTGCTCCCTGAGATGTGTTGGGTTCGAGCCAGAAAAAAAAAATGCCTTTAAAAATAATTTCAGAAAATGTGTTTACTGCAAATAACTAATATATTTGGTTTTACTTAAAAAATCTGTAGTAAACTAACTTGACATTAAATGCTTTTCTTTTTTTCTTTTTTTTGAAAGGAAAATGCTTTTCTTTAGTTCTCTTTGTGTTGTATGTTTATACTTCCTCACCAAATTTACCCTTAATATTTTTGTTTTCTTTTGTCAATTATATACACTCACTATGTAAAAATAGAAACGCATGCGTACATATGAACCAAAAGGCTAGGTTTAATCAGGAAAATGTTTTAATTTCTTATTTCGCTAATTGAGTAGTCATGGTATTAAATTGATAATTTTAAAAGTTGTGAATTTTAATTAACAACACCCAACAGTTATATTACCAAAACTAAAATTTCTCTAAAAAAATTAAAAGTTCTATTTTCTTTGTGCTTCAATAGATTGAAAAAGTAGTTATGAACAAATATTGCATTGTAAGGGAGTTATAATACTCAAAAAAATTATATTAATATGTTTAAAATATTTTAAACAATTTATCATTTCATGTGGACTCAAAACCTGTTAACTAAATCTACCTATTGCGTGACTAATTTAACTCACTTTAAAATCATGTTTGTGTTTAATTAAAATGTAACATATCATTATCGTGTTAATCCGTTGACATAAATTTTCAGTTTTAAATAAAATGAGATGAACAAAGTATTTGTTATAATTAAAAATAATTTAATTAGATGTAATAAATAATAATAAATCAATTTTATTTTAAGTGATTTTAATTTAGTAAATATGTAGAATAGTAAATTAGCTAGGGATAGCAATGTGAACCGTCCCCGTCCTCGTAGGGGATCGGGACGGGTACGGGAAAAAATTTCGGGGATCGGGGACGGGGATGGAGAATTTTTTAAATTCCCCACCGGAGACGGGGAAACCCCTCCCGCCCCGTCCCGTCCCCGAAAATTAAAAAATTAAAAAAAGAAATATATATATATATATATATATATATATATATATATATATATATATATATTAGGAATTAGGAATTAGATTATTAGTTATTTAGTTAATTAGTTTTATTAGATTTTAAAATTAAAATTTAAAACACAGTAAGTACTATTCAATTATTCAAACAGTATGTATATATTGGATGAAGGAATTAAAATTTAGAATATATTGAATATTGATTACATTGTATGCACTATGAATATTGAATGTGTATATATAGGATTAATTAGATTATTAGAATATATTGACTATGAATTTCAATTTTTTTTGTTTTTATTTTTTAAAAAGTTGTATTACTTTTACACATTAACTATGGATTGACCAGAAATAGAAATTTCCCGTCCCCGCCAAATTTCCCGCGAGGATGAAAACGAAAAATTTTTTTAATTTCTCGCCGGAGATGGGGACGGAGATTAGGACGGGGTCGGAGTCGCAGAGACGAAGACGAGAAGGCGGAGTATATTCCCCGCCCCCGCCTCGCCTCGTCACGCCTCGTTGCCATCCCTAAGATTAAGTATTAATTTATTCCGGTGTACATATTTACAGTAATTTGTTCTTTTTTTTTTTTTTAAGAAAAAGAAAAGAAAGTCCCCACCGCCTCACGCAAAATACCGAACACGATAGATGTATCTAGATTCTTCACGTACTAGGCTAGTAGATGAGGATGACGATGTGGGTCCAAAATCTTTTGACCCGAGTGAGGTGGGTCCACTAGGATTTCTCTGACACCCGAATTTTATGTTGTCGTGTTTTCCAGCGGATGCGTGGAATCTACGCGTTTCTTAAAGACGGCAAACTATAATTATATTCCGTATCAAATTCGAATTAACCGTAGAATAGACGGTGGTTAAATGTACGTGGCTCGAATACTATGGACCCACCGCCTCATTCCACCCCTTTATATACCCCTCACGCTTCTCCTCTTTCCCATATACAAATTCATTCATTGAAGCTTTTGCCTTCTACGCTCTCAAGGTTAGTAATTATAAGCTTTTCTCCGTTTTCTTCTTCTTTTAGTTTTCGTTTATGATTATTATTTGTTAGATTTTGATTTGATGCGATCCATGTCTCGAGCTCAATAGATTATTAGATTCTCTCTGAAATTTTGCGTTGAATTTAATTTTGTGGCCATTAGGGTTTCCTATGTATCCTTCTGTTGAAGATTGGATTACAGTAGGAGCGGTTCATCAGCCCTAATGTTTTGATCTTTGGAAGAATTCATGGATTATTCGTTGTTGATTTTGTTTGATGTGATATAATATGATCTGTTGTTATGAATTATGATCGGGATTTATGGTTTTGATGGGGGTTTTTGATCTGCAGCTCGCTGGTAAAGGTTTCAGATCGAAGCGACAGTTTTCTTCATCAAGCAAGTTACATGGTTGATATCGAGGCTCATCTCCCAACCGCTTTTGATCCGTTTGCCGAGGCCAAGGAATCGGGCGCCCCTGGAGCGAAGGAGTATGTGCATATCCGCATCCAGCAGAGGAATGGAAAGAAGAGTCTGACAACTGTGCAAGGGCTGAGGAAGGAGTACAGTTACGACAAGATCCTCAAAGACCTCAAGAAAGAGTTTTGCTGCAACGGTAATGTTGTGCAGGACAAGGAGCTGGGGAAGGTGATACAGCTCCAAGGCGATCAGCGCAAGAACGTGTCCCAGTTCCTTGTCAGTGCTGGGCTCGTGAAGAAGGATCAGATTAAGATTCATGGTTTCTAGTCCTTCTTTACCTCCACTGTCTGTGTGCAATCATAAGACTATAGATTATACAAATATATTGCAGTACTGGTGTTGTTTGCCTTTTTTTTTTTCCTGAATTTTTCATTTTGAATTGATTTCCATGCCCATAGTCATGTCATGGGGTGGCTGTTGAATTGTAATTCAACTTTCTCTTCCAGCAATAAATGTGGGTTTTATATTTATCATAATACATTTGTTCTTGTTATAAATATGAGGTAAGAACAGATACTGAAAGAAATTTCTCAATACAATTACTGGCCAGCCAGTAAAGCTACAATGATTCCATGGCCATCCCAGAGCATAAATTACATGATGTTAGAAGAGCTTGCCTGGCTGTTTGCTTCCAGTTCTCATCATGGTGCAGAACTCTTCATAGTTGATGGTTCCATCCTGAAAATTTTATCAAATTATCACTGATGTTCAGATGAATCATAAGCTTTTGAACTGGGAAGAGAAGATAGCTTACATTGTCTATATCCACTTCAGCTATAATCTCTTTTATAGTTTCTGCATCAGCTATTCCATGTTCCTTCAGAGCTGTTTGCAGTTCATCTCGAGTTATAAACCTACAATAGTGGAAAACAGAATGAGTGTATTGTATTGTGTACTGAATTACATTAATTTTTACAAGATGTGCTGCAGACTTTACCCACTACTATCTTTATCAAAATACTGAAATGCTTTGTATAGATTCTCTTCTCTTTCTAGCCTGTGTTTGTGCATTGTAGCAGTGATGAATTCTATATAGTCAATTGAGCCATCTCCATCCACATCTGCCTGCAAGTGTTTGAAAAAAAAAATTGAAATTAACGATACCACGAGTCCTTCATATGACAAGCTTGTGTTTCCCGTTGTCTATATCTGATAGCCAATAGGGGTGTAAACGAGCCAAAGCCGAACATAGGGTGTTTGGGTTTGGCTAAGATCAAGTAATGAAACACTGTTCGGGTTTGGCTAGTCAAGTAATGAAACGATATAGGGTGTTCGGGTTTTGGCTAGATCAAGTAATGAAACGATATTCGGTCTCTGATCAAGTAATGCAACGAGCTTACTTACAGCTTCCATCAACTGCTTGACTTCAGATTCTGTGAGCTTGGACCCGAGTTTAGCCAATCCAGTCTTCAGCTCTTCATATGTAATCGTGCCACTCTTATCGGTATCCATGTTCATGAACATAGATTTCAGCCCCTGGATTTCTTCTGCCGAGAGATTTTCTGCAATTACCTGGGATCCAAAAGTCCATTTAGCACACAGCTCAACGAGCGTACTAGAAGGGGATTGATTCATCCCTTTTGTCATTGTTACATCGAATTAAGATGCACTTGAGTTTCAGTAGCTTCTGAGATTACCTTAAGGGCAAGCTTTTTGAGTTTGTTCATCGCTCTGAATTGCTTCATTCTCGAGAGGACTGCACTGTCTATTGGTTTATCAGACGCTTCTCCTCCTCTCATCCATGGATGCTCTATCAGCCAAACATACAAAGAGTTGCATTAGAGTTACCAATATTGATTTTTTTTATTGAATTAGGATACACATACCAAGAACTTGAGCAGCAGTAATGCGTCTCTTTGGATCTTCCGTTAGCATCCTTCGTACCAGGTCCTTGGCACTACTCGATATAGAAGGCCACGGTTCACTTTCGAAGTCAATTTCTCCCTCAAGTATAGCATCAAAAATTCCCCGCTCAGTTTCTGCAGAGAAAAATGTTCAAAATGCCATAAAGCCTAGTTGTAACGACTCTATGTTGCTTAACTATCAAACAACTTTCTTGCTGAGCATGACGAGATAGATATAAGATATATCGTCTTTACCAGCCCAGAACGGAGGGACACCGCTGAGTAATATGTACAATATAACACCTGCACTCCAGATGTCTGCTTCCTTCCCATACTTACGTCGCAACACTTCAGGAGGAACATAGTAAGCACTTCCAACTATATCCTTGTACACCTTTCCTGCAGAAGATTCAACGCTAAAATCACTATAGAGAACTTTCAGCTTTCATCAAGACATCATGACAAACAATGTGCTTTTGCACTGGAAAAAAACGAATTGAAGCCAATGGCTAAGTCCAATTGAAGCATGTGCTCCATTTCAACTAAAAGTCTAAGCTTGTAGTTGGATTGCACATTAATGGCTATATGCTCAACACGCCCCCTCACGTGTGCGGTGGGTTCCAAGCAACACGTGGACTGTAGTCGCTTATGGGTGGCGCTGAGATTCGAACCACCCATAACCTTTGGTCTGACTCTGATATCAAATTGAAGCATGTGCTTCATCTCAACTAAAAGCCTAAGCTCGTAGTTGGATTGCACATTAATGGCTATATGCAAACAAGTCCTAGTATTGGTTTTGCATTCTGAGTACTTAAATTATCGAGGATGAGAGTTGTTAAACTTTCTTAAACTCGTCAACTATCAGATCCTTAGACTACATTTCTCAACATTTTCTCCCTGCAATATGCCATTGGAAATATGGTTCAGAGTCACGGTTCAATAACGAAAGAAGTGCATCCTAGATAACTACAATTCAACTAAACACGAAAATCACATGGAAATGCCCACCAAGACCTCGAAACCTAGAAGGTAAAACGATTAAGCAACATAACGAATTTCTGTACACTACAAGATTAAGATACAAATGCCCGAATTCATAAGCAATTTACCTTGCTCAATGAACACAGAGAGGCCAAAATCGGTTGCCTTCAAGGCAGCATTTTCAGCTTTATCAGACAGCAAGAAATTCTCTGGCTTAAGATCACGGTGCATTACGCCCATAAAATGGCAAACATTCACAACATTCACAATGGACCGACAAAGCGAGGCAGCAGCCTTTTCACTATAATGCCCATTAGCAATGATCCTATCAAACAGCTCTCCACCAGCACAAAGCTCCATCACAAGATAAACAGAGCTCTTGTCCTCATAAGCACCTTTAAAGGCAACAATATTAGGCTGCCCACTCAAGTGCTGCATAATCTGAATCTCTCTTCTCATGTCCTCCTTATCAGCCTTGGTAACAAGCTTTTTCTTGGATATTGATTTGCAAGCATATTGTTGACCACTACTGATCTCAGTACAAAGATAAGTAACCCCAAATTGGCCCCTACCCAATTCTTTCCCAAGACTATAATGTGACCTAACATCTTCATATGCCTTTCCCAGAATTGTATCTGACCTGAAAGCTGGTTTTGGGCTTGGTTGAGGCCTCACCACAGGCAGTTGAGCTTCTGGGCCAGGAGATTTTGTGTACTGAATTTGATTCTGATTCACAATTTCACCATGATACCCATTGGCCTTTGACTCTGCAGGCTTATCCTTGCCTAAACACAGACCCATTTCTCTATTTCAGTCTTCCAGGAAGGCGAAAAATGAGATTCCACTCAAAATGAAGAAGAATCAAGAACTGGGTTTAGCAAAAGGTCACTGCCCAGATTGAGAATTTGGTTGTAATCAAGAAAAAAAAAAGCTTTCACTTGTTTCCAGGAGTGCAGAAAGGGAAATGTGTAAATTTAGTGAGACTTGGTAAGAAGAATAAATCAAACGAAGCTAAAAGTTTGAATCATTCTTCACAGAAAGACGAAGTAGTAGAGACGAGACGATAAAGAACTTTATCAGCTGATAATAATCGAAACGTTCGGTGAACGGTTCAGGACTCTACTGAAGGAAGAAAAGGCGAAAAAAGATATTTTAAGCATTTGGTTTAGAGGTTAGTGTGAAGGCTTCTTCTACTTCTTCTAGATTAGGTAGATTCTACGGGTTTAGCTTACTTATTTAGTAGATAATATTTGAAAAAGAAATCAAAGTTTGAATTTTAATGGATAGAGATTATATTCAATGTAAACAGATTCTTTGTATGTATTGACATTTAACCTTATTATTAAATTATTGTAATTTATATCTTTTTAAATGTTTTGTGGAATCGATGTGTGGGAGCGCTTTGGATTAAAAATTTAATCTTTTAAGAAAAGAAGGATTAAACTTACCAGAAATGGAGAAACACTGCGCCAAGTAGGCAAGTATCCAACCCACCGTTTTTTAGTTTTTTTTTTAGTTTTTTTTTTTTTTTTTTTTTTTCGCTTTTTGGCCCTTGGGAGGATTGGAATTTGGAAGACTTCTTATTTCTATTTTCTTGTAGACTTGTAGTTTCCGTTTATAGAATTATAGGTAACTTATATTGTTGTGCCCATTACTGTTGTCTGCTGTTGTACCATTTTTAATTTTAGAAAAGTTGAACTTTGGAGTGGGGGTGGTGCCAAAAAATTTTGTCAGTAAAGACAAATATTAAAACAAAAAAATGGTTTAAAAAAATTAATAAAATACATACGAAGTATATATCTATAAATATTGTTGGATATGGTCGACAAATAAACTGCATCAAAACATTATAAAAATAATCATAACAAAATATGAAACATAATTATTTTGATAAAATGATTCGAATATAAAGCACATTGGCCCTGTTTGGTAAAAAATTGGCCTATAGGCAAATTTTGGCTTATTTGACTATTATTAATTGTTTTGTTTAGTTAAAATATCAATAGAAATATTTGGTTAATTAGCTTTTTGCAACTTCAAAAAGCTAAAATTCAAAAAGCTACTCCAAGCAACTTTTTCAATTAGCTTTTTGAGAAAAGAAATTATACCAAACAGCTATCAGCTAACAGCTAATTTACCAAACACTTTTCTACACTCATCTAATGTTATCAACTATTTATACCCTCTAATTAACACAATCAGCTAACAGCAAACAGCTATCAGCTAACAGCCATTTTACCAAACAGGACCATTATAAATCTATGGCTAGCTTTTGTAGCTCAGTTGGTTAGAGCACCCGTTTAGTAAGCGGGAGGTCTTGAGTTTAACTCTCAACAAGAGCAACCACTAAAGATAGTCATAAAATTAAAATTGGCTGATATTAAAAATTATTATTTTAATAATGTGTTGGACTACTAGGTAGGGCTCGTAACTAACTTACTTATGAGAGTTAATGCAAGTTAAACTCGAGCAACTAGTAAAGAAAGTCATAAAATTAAAACTACTACGTAACTAGTGTTCGTAACTAACTTACTTATGAGAGTTAATGCAAGTTAAACTCGAGCAACTAGTAAAGAAAGTAATAAAATTAAAACTACTAGGTAGGGTTCCTAGCTAACTTACTTATGATAGTTAATGCAAGTTAAACTCGAGCAACTAGTAAAGAAAGTCATAAAATTAAAATTGAGCGATATTGAAAATTATTATTTTAAATATTTTAATAATGTGCTAGACTGCTAGGTAGGGTTCGTGACTAACTTATTTATGAGAGTTAATGCAAGTTAAACTCTTAAATTATGGCCAAACACCTTGTGCTCAGATAACATGTAGTGACTCTCCCATATGGGAGGTCATGAGATCGAGCCTCAGTGTAGAGTAATAGGGACTTAGAAGGTCGAGTAATTAAATTCATCATTCTTTACTAGTTACAACTTTTGATGTAGTGATAGATGTTAATAGGTATAAAGTTGTGCATTTACTATTAGCAGTGGTTGTTATATGTGTTGGTTTAATTTTATGATTTGCGACCCCTCGGGTGGCCAACAAAACCGTTTGAAAGCAAGAAAAATTTCTAAGAGAAAAATTAGTAGAGTTGTGGAAAAGTGTTTATTGCTTTAATTTGTGTATCAAGGATTTTGAACCCTTTACAAGTCCTTTATCAGGGTATTTATACAACTCAAGCTAATTAAAACACTCATCCAAATTAGGAAATAAAATTCTAAAAATCCCAAAAAATATTGCTTATTAATTACAAATTAATTGCCTACAAAAATAAGTAATCTCCTTAAATATAAAAGAAAATAAAAAATTTAAGAGAACACATTCATGAAATTATTGGTCAAACTGGTTTGAGTCTGACCACCCGAGTACAACCACTAAATCGTTCATCATTATCACATCAATATGTGTCTCAATTTTTAGTTTTGAATTGAAAATTAAATTTTTGATCCCTTTATTAATGATTTGTAAAAGGTTATTGTAGCTCATAATTTTCTTATTATTTTTCAAATTGCATTCTAACTTAACAACCTAGTAGTTAGGAATGCAGAAAGATAGACCATTGACTTCTATTAATTTTCTTGGTGAGAGGTTGACATCTAATTGCATAAATTTAGGCTTACAAGTAAAATTTGTATATATGTTGTGAGTTGGAAATTAAATTATAAAAATATATATTAAATGATGAAATTTTTAAGATAAAAAAGAATCTCATCCCGTGATGGTGATTGGTAGGCAAATCTTCAAGTTGAATTTTGATTGATTTGGAGAGACGATGGAAGAGTGTGTGCTCCAAGGTTGATGAGCCAAGTGTGGTCTCAAAATGAATACTAAGGAATAAAGTTTGTAAAATGTCTAGATTGAATTAGACTAGTAGGTAATAATATATGGTGAAGGTCTAATGGGTGGGGAAAGGGCGAACTTAAGAACTTTTCCCTCTTGTAAGATTAATTTTAATAAGCGGTTGAAATAGAGATGAGTACAAGGTGATAACATATACATTATGTATTTTTATCTAATCCTATCCTATATATAATAAAGCCATATGGTCTTCTGAAAATTAAATGGTGATAATCAACATTTAATTTTCACAAGACCATAATAATATTGTTATTGTGAAAATTAAATGTTGATAATCAACATTTAATTTTCACAAAACTATAATAATATTGTTAATTATAATAACAATAATAATAATAATAATAATTGCAATAATAATTATAATGATAATAATTTACACGAACAGTTTCTATCTAATATATATATATATATATATATATTATATTTATTTATATTTCAATTTCTACTGGCAAATTATTGTGAGGAACGATGGTCCACATAATTGTATGGATCATGAATATTAAATACATTTTTAATATATTAAAAATACATTATTTTTATATTGAAAGTACCTTACATACATATATAATGTACCCTTAGTATATTTAAAATATACTTTTTATTGCATGCAACCCCAAAATTCATAAGTTTGAAATTAATATATGGCATAGCTAGGCGGCCTAATATTTAAGATTGTTGATGTGCATATTGAGAACTACGGAGACAAAGATGCGTTATTCGTGGATTCATCGGATATTATCCAACAACACTCTCCAAATTAATTGACGTGAAGTGGCTTAGTAACATTAAGATTATATTCTCGAATTATTAGTTCTCATCTTTTATTGATTACACACTTAATTCGATAGTATTTGGAAGAAAAAATCAATGTTCGAACTAAGATTGTGATTTTGGTCTTTAAAGGTCAATTGTATGTTGCTACATCTAGAGTTAGAAATCTCAAAGGTCTAAAAATTTTGATCCGTGGTGACTCTAAAATTGTAATTCAATTACTATTGTAGTTTACTAAGTTCTTAAAAATTTGTAATATTAAATACTATGTACTAAATTTTTAATATAGTTTAAGATTTGTAGTAATCACCCACCTTAAATATTATTTTAATTGTAAATATATTTATGTTCATAATTTTATCATAGGAATTCACACATAATAATTATTAAATAACAAAAATTTAATATATGAATAAACCTCATATAGGGTATATTTTTATAACATATTTTCCGTGCATCGCACGGGACAAATACTAGTATATATAGTATAACGTAACGCTGGTGTGGTGTTAATATATATTTCAATTTTTTTTTTAAATAAGTAACAATTTTCGTGAAACAAGAAAACAACGGCATGTTAGCTAAACAAACAAGGAAGACACACTATCATAAAAATACATTGAAATAACTATAGTTTTACTTACAAATTAAATATCTATGAATTTCATTAATTTATCTATACATATTCGTTGGTAAATTTAATACATATGAACTTTTCTATTGTTGAATTTGATTTTTGTTATAATGATGCATTGATCTCTAGTTTTTAAGGAAATATTAATATTTTTAACACCATAATCCAATTATACCATATCGAAATCCCAAATGTCCAATTATTACTTGGTTCTCTTGCTTGTTGATTCTCACCTCTCTTTCTCTTCATTGTCGTTGTTCTTTTGTTATTTTTAGAGTAAATTCTCATCCAAAATGAAATAATGATCATATTGAATTCAGATTTTGATAGAGATTAAACCCTATTCGGATATTTAATTATGTGCACGAATATTGCACAGAAAGTTACTGGGCTCACTTCTCGAACGTAGCTGCCCAACTTTATGTTTTCCCCAACTAGATCGAGGTTGGGAAGGAGGTTCCTCTCGGCATAGTGAGGATTTGGCCTGGTAGTCCTCCCAATCATGTGCGGTCGAGAAAAACTTATCCGAGCATGTGACTTGATTGTTAAAGAAACGTAATCCAAATAGATTGTATAGTTACATCGCATTCATGCAATATGTCAAAATACTCCAGGCACTTGGGATAAGTAGGATTGCTGTCATCCCAACCAGTGCATGAAGGACACGTGTGCGTCATGTCGCAGGGTTGACATGTGTTCCCTCCAAACTCCTATATATATAATTAGCCACATTTTATTCATAAAGGGAGACTTTTTTATGACAACGAAAGGTATTGCAAATCATATCGGGACCCTCCAACCTATTACGTTAAATTAATATTAAAATTCAGGCCGGACACAACATAAAATTCGATGAAATA